ACTGTGAAGTAACTGCGTAGTCTGTGCGACTTCTTATGGTAGTCTTGTGTGCAACCAGTGAGCGCTCTAGCCAAATGTCTCACAGGACGGCAAGTTGGACGCCGTATGAGAAGGAGGTGAGAGAGCACAGCGGATTAAAATGTGTCCAAACCCTGAGTCATTGTAAATGGCGTCGGAACAACTTGTGAACAGCACGCACACGCATGCACACGGAGCAAGCACAACGACGTAATAACCAACACCCCTAATTGCACCTCCTGCTATACGTACACAGGATTAGTAAGCTCCAGTGACTGTTATGTGTATCACAGTTGCCTGCTAATCATGCTAAGGAGCCTACGGGGGGCACTATCAGCTTGATACACCCAGATGTGCCAGACCAGAGAAAGGGTTTTCGATTTCAGTCAGTCCAGCTGCATATTGCTTAACCTGAGCATTGGGCTTTATGGAGAAATCTGAGGAGTCAGAAGCCAAAGTTTTCGATGTCTGATTCAGCAAACTTTGCAGCTGAAGAAATACGGAAACACACGTGGAAATACAAATGAGTTTCAAGAGCACAATATTTAATGGGAAAAGAATAAGAAATACTCTTCATAAATTCGGGTTTTTGAAGTCATTTTTATGGTAATAGCAAGTAAGCAGAATGAAATATCGACTTAAAAGTGTAATGGGAAGAAAGAATGTTTACTTGGCAGTAAGTTAGCAATATAACAGTTGACCATTTCCTGCGGTCTAATTTAATGCATTAGGACTGTTTCTTCCTGGGTAGTGTTAACAGAAAGCGGTTGCTGTTTGTCAAAGTTAATTGATGATCACTCGATCGTCTAAGCTAAAGTAATCATTTTGTTCATGGAGCAAAGTAAAAGAGGAATTTTTGCACCAGAAAATGTCCAGTTGAAGCTCTGTAACGCTGAAATAACGGTCACTAAGTATATTCTGTTTATAACTTAAAGCAACGGTCAATAACCAGGTACACGTTTTGATTTTTTAGCAAACCTAAACCGCATCCCGTTTTAAATAAAAAAACTGCTCTCTAAGGAAACAATATGTACCAAAATGGCACTCTGGCTTCCATGCAGGGAAGACACCATGGAAATATAAGTTATCTTACAACCATTATAGAAACGGCTCGGTTAATTATTTAACAAATTTGCTTTATCAAAAGACAGTCACAAAATATGAGAAAATACAAGTAAGAGCAATGACAGGAAAGTGACAAATGCTAATCTTCCTAATCTTGAGCAAATTATTAGACAAACATGGAATAGCAGGCTGAAAATGTCGCAATGATACATAACAAATGTTATAAATGGTTAGAGTGACTTCTAACAAAATTTACTAAAAGAATACCTTGCTCATATTTTTCTTGTTGGCAGCCACCTGCTGGTATTCCGGTGTGTCAAAAACAGGGTTACATGACTTGAATTGAGGGTAGTGACTAAAAAATAAGCAGCAGTTTGTGAAGAAAAAGTGAGGTGGTTTAACTCATGTCATTGGCAGAAACTGAAAGTGCAACATGCTAAATGTATAACAGTTTAAAATAAGTAGGCGTATGTTAAAATTCAAAGCCGTTTGGTCTACTTTGAGCAGTTTACTTCACTTTTTTGAACAGCATTAGTGATTAACTGTATGACCAACGTCCTGCTGGCTGTTCAGGCCAGCCACTATTAGGGCCAGCGCCTTCAGAATAAAAAAATGTAAACAGTTTTAAGTCCTACCATTACTTAACAAATAGGGAATTTAAAATGTCAAAACAACGCTCGGTGTCTAAGTTATAATGTCCTGACTTCTCCAAATTAGGATGCTTTCATTGTTGAAGATGAAATGTAACCATTTTTCTTGAAATTTTTCGTAATTGAAATAACTAAGCTCATGAGTGCAAACGAAGGGCCAGATGTCTACAGACGAAACGACGCATGCATGTGGAGGAAATCACACACAGCGACTGATTTACTATTGCGGACACAAAATCCAAAACGCCAGAATCTTTGAGCCCCTTTTCTCATAAAATATATTGTGAAATAGGCGTCGTTACATTGATCGGTTACGCGGTATTTTAATTAAAATCACCAAAACACCCTATTCTACTCGGAAATATTTGAGCACCTATCAATGGTTTCAGCTATTTGAATTACATAAAACAAGCCGAAAAACCTTATATGGACCATTATCAAAGCCACACAGGCCTACACTTAGATGTTCACACATCTTACCGCAAGTGAACCTATAGCCCCAAATTTGATATCCTCAATTCCCCTAGGGTGTCTGTTTCTCTAAGTGCAAATGAGAAATGCATTTCGGCATTGTGACGTGATCAGATGTTTGTGTAATGAACCGAGATAGCATCATAAATACTCGTTATAAAAGACGTCTTAAATATGTCAGACTTTAAGCGGGGATAGACGTCAGTGAAAAAATTATCGTTTCTGAATTTCACTTGCTTTACATGTTGTTATACACGGACGATTATCGTACGTCTCTGCCCCACTTTTGGAGTTACTTTCCACGCCAAACATGAATGACCATGTTGTGTTTGCGCCAAATAAGTGAAGCAATGTTTTTTCATGCCATGCACAAACATCAACTATCGCTGCAATGCAGATTTTAAAAATTGGACAATTTTTCAAAAAAATAATTCCATGAACGGCTTTGGTTATGAATATCAGAAGAATAAAACTTCCATTCTAACACCATCCTAGAACTTTGTTCACCGATCGGGTTGCATCCCTGTGTTTTCGGACTTATTTTACAGGGCACGAAGGCGGTCACATAGCGACGGAGAATATATTTTGGGGGGACTACTGATGACAAATTATAAATAATAAATGGTTGATACAGTCTCTTATGCTTTAATCGGCAGTCCTTTCAATCTTAGCAGACTGAGCAGTTCATACTTTTGATATTGTGAGAATAGCCTTAAATAACCCTTAAATAAGTCATAATACTGCACAGCACTTTTATGATCTTGGACTTGATCCTCATGCCCACACTGTGAAAGTAACGTCGGAGGATTGAAAGGGCATAAAATGTAAAAAGTGTGTAATAAGAAACGTGCAAATTAGTCCAAATAATGCGGAATGCAATCATAGTTCGATATATTATTATCTTCACGCTAATCAAAGGCCTGAGCTCTGCAAGTGGCCATCCTACGGCAGTTCGTTAAGAGAAAAGAGCTACCAAAATATACACATAGTTGCTAGAGTGTTTTACCCATAAACGCAACAACAGGTGCAGCGTCTAAGGGAACAAAAGGTTAAGAGATGTCAGTCCACCTTTGTAGTAAAAATAAGGAAAAGTGGAAAAGCTGTATTCTGTCGAGGAACCAGAGATAAAACATGTGCAATAAAGTGTAGAAAGAAGTTTCAATTCCTCCAACAGAGTTAAAATTGGCAAAAAACGTTTTTTACTCACAAAAATACACTTACACTGAACAGTATGGCAATCCTTGATGGCCTTTACAGTTGTGAATGCCAAGTACCTTATGGCATACTTCGCAACGGAAGCAACCCTTGTGCCATAGCTGAGGAGCAAAGAAAGCATTATTCACAGGAGGAAATGAAATTGACTTGTAAGCATTGGTCGGGTAACATGAACATTTGGCGTTTATTTAGATTAAACGGATGAGGATTCTATTTGCATCTCATTTTTTACTGGACCAGTAACAATTATTTCTGGTAATTTTAACATTAGAATGTACGTTTTCGTAATCAGATTTGCCAGATTGCAGAAATTGTCTACGCTTTTTCGTGAAGGTAGGACAAGGAATGAACACAAAATTATAATTCTTGATCTGTTCATTAGGTCCTGGAAGGTAGGCGGCTATCCATACTACTGTATGCGCTACTGGAGAAACATTTGAATAGTCACATGGGTCATTGCGATAACAACACGAGAATGGGTTAAAGGTTGAGGATAATTTCATAGACAATTTTAATCCGGACGCCTAAGCTTCCAGTAAAACAAAAATGCAAAACAACCGTACTCATCAGACATAACTGTGCTGCTAACGCTAGTACGGCAGAAGGTCAGAAACGTCAGAGTTGTCACACAAATAAATACGTACGTACGCGTACCACTTTCAAACAATGGCATAGAGTTATGTTTGCGTTCGCAAAAATATAATGATAATCCAGCCCCATAATGCTTATTGCAACATGTTTTATTTTTTATTCTGTCTATGCAGAATAAGCGCGTTCATGTAACCTATAGGGAATCATATGACTCCCATAATTAATACTAATTAATTAAAAGATCCTCATGAGGTTCGAAAGCCCAGAGAAGTAACAGTAGCCTTGTCTCACAAAAAATAAATAAAATAAGATGCAAAGGGTATGAGACGGAGCTGCATAAAGATAATAAAGTAATGAATGCACTAATAATTATGAAAACTGCGTAGTTAATATTTTAAGTGGAAACGAATATTCGCTCTTGAAAATCACAAAGGCAAATTGACTTAAAAAGGAAATAAGATTAAAATATATCAAAATTAGCAACAGAACTAGAACAAAACCTTGTCATGCCATTGC